TCTCCCGCCGCGCTCCCCCAGACCGCCCGCTCCTGAGGAACAAGCGGCACGTGGAAGTGCTGCAGGAGCCGCTCCTAGGCATCCTCTACAAGTACTCGAAGATCCATCACCCCGAGGACCCCCAGCATTTCGCCCGCCTTATCGGGCGCCTCACGGAACTGCGCACGCTCCACCACACCCATGCGGAGGTGCTGGTGACATGGAGAACAAAGGACCCCAGGCTGACCTCCCTGCTCTGCGAGATCTGGGATCTGCACTAGGCGACGCCGACCCCTGCGGCGATGCGGCGCTGTAACAGAACTGCGCTCTCCTGAGTATCGTACTCCGCCCCGGCGCGCGCCGCGCCCGCCGCCTCCCCTCCCGCCTGGATCGCGCGCTTTCGCTTCCCGCTTTTTTGTCCTCCCTCAGCAGCCGGCGAGTTCGGGGCGTTAGTGTGCCCGTCGTGAGGTGTTGGCTGTGAAACACGCCTTTTTCTCCGAGGCCATGGAAAAAGAAAAACCGTTTAAATTGTTTGTGCCACCGCGCCTGAGCGGTGGTCAGGTGTCTGCAGTCAAACCCCAGACGAGCGCTCGGGCAACGGGGCTGTGTCAGGTAAACGGTGCTGCCGCCTGCCTTGCCTTGTGTTGCTCTGGAGGCGACGGCTGACGAGCGGGCGGCGGGGCGAGAGCGGTGGAAGGGCGCAGGGGCCCTTCCACGGGGACAGAGGGGGGAGCGGTCCTCCCGGGTAGTCCCCAAGCAAAATCCTGAACCTCCGTCCTGGAAAGCATATGCATACGTATGCATGAAAGCGGGTGCGCTGAACTCATTTTTCTGCAAACTGTTAAGACTGGTGCTGGGGGGTAACATCTTAAGTTTTAATTTCAAAGACTTTTACTTTTTTCTATCAAAACCAAATAGAATAATCTTCTCGAGCATCTGCTATGTATTTTAACTGTACACCACCGATGATAAATACATGTTTGATGTGCGTAATTCACAATAGTAAGTGGGAAGTACACCGTTTGGCTACCCTTACTGGCTTTGATTTATTGGTCCCACCAGATCAAGTGTGCAGTGAAAATGTTCCGTCGCTACACTCCGAGTTACGTGAATTCGACAAAATATTTTTTCATGTTGAGGCTCCTTATGAAATATGTTTAGATTCAAATGTGATATCCCGACGGGAGACGAGTTACACTTTTTACAAGACAAATTTCTGTGACTTTTAAAACACCTTGTAAAATGAAATTTTCATGCTAAAACATAATAAGATATGTTTTAGCAGTACTCTTGGGATTAAAGCAAAAAATAAGTATCAAATACTGGACTTGAAAAAAATCGTTTTGGTTAATGAGTCCTTTACCATGCAGCTGTGTACAGGCATGCCATAGCTAATAAGTTCTTGTCAAAAGCTTCTGCTTTGGCCACAGTGTAGTCTATAAAGCAAACTACAAAAGACCAACGGTTTGAAAAGCCACTGGGACATAAGCCAGCAGGAGAGTTCCAAAGCCTTTACCAATATCTTGGGCTTTGAAAATTGTAGGTAGTTGATTTATTAACGGAAAACTCTATTTTCACATTAGCTGTACTTTTTTCTGGGTTTTATAATCCTTCTTTACAAATCTATCCATAAGAAAATAATTTTTAAATTTGTGCAGGGTTTTAATAAATGCCCAGATGATGATTTTAATTTGCCATTTGTAACGAGTACACCGAACCGTGGTGAAATCACTGATTCAGGTAAGACTAAAATAAGCATTTACCTTGCACATTCTTTTAAAATCATTTAATATTGTTGACATTTTTCATGAGTAGTTTAACAATTTCATAGCTGTAACACTGTTAAATACAATTCCATCGTTATTTTTTTAGTAATACATTGATCAAAATCTCTTCATATTTCAGATGCAATTTCACAGCAAGTAAAACTTTGCTCTGAGGTAGATGAAGAGGTCAGCTAAGTATAAACTCTGCATATCTCATTTCTTAGGGCCTCTTAATTTGTTCCCCAGACAGCGCCTAAAGCACTATTCAGGGCTAAAGGAAGTAGTCAAAAGGGAATAAGAGTTTTCTGTTTCCTGTTTAAAGCTGAATCACTTAGAGGGGGTATTTGTGATTCAGTGAACATGCCTGGAGATAAACCTTTCAATATTAAGGTGATTTCCAAGTTTGTTTTTTTGGTTTTTTGTTTTGAATCACTTAGAGGGGGTATTTGTGATTCAGTGAACATGCCTGGAGATAAACCTTTCAATATTAAGGTGATTTCCAAGTTTGTTTTTTTGGTGTTTTTTGTTTTTTTTTTTTTTAAAGTGCCTGGGAAGCCTGGGAGTTTTAATCAGAATAAGATTTAGGCACTTAAATATCTTTCTAGAACTGGTTCTGAATAGTCTGTTGAAAGGCAGGATTGAAGTCAGAGTATTCTTTGGAAAATCGAAGCAGATTATCCCAATTGCCTTGTCTGGCTTTATTTTATCTGTAAAACAATGCATTTAGTGGAGTGGTTTCCTCAAGCATTTGATTCTTCTCATAGCATCTTTACCAACGTTTTTCTGCTTTAGTATAGCTCAGTAAAGCTAATTTTTTTTTGCGGTAGCTTCCTTTGCTTCCCAGATATGAAATGCTGTTTGCTGCAACAAAATGGAATGTATTTCTTGCAGTCCTCCTAATGATTTTCAAATTCCCGAGGACTAAACTTCTTTAGCCCTAGCAGCTATTAGAGTACAGACAGGACTGTAATGGTATCATGATGCAGCCAAAACAAGGATAGCGTTAGGTGACATCATACCTAAAACAAACTGCAGAACTGCCCTGTGGCCTACTGTACTACTCTTACCTGCCTAAACCATTGATCAAGTGCTGATTGTACAGCACTTTAAAGATGTTCTAAGAGCACAAGATTGGTTGGGTTTTCTTCCTGCTTTGTGTATGAGTTAACTGTAAAAACATATCGCGGGTAGTCTTGGACAAAATCTCTGAAGCTGCTTTTACTTAACGCAGCAGTATCTGTCAGAATAAGAGGAGGGAAATGGTGTGAAGAACCTAACAGAAGGAATCTTGGCTCTACTGATAACTCTAGCAAAACTTTTATTGACTTTTGGTGGAGTGCAGTTATCCATATCTTTAAGGCTATCTATTTAGTGATGTCACTATATCTGAAGGCAGTGGGGTATTTTTCACTTGCGTTTGTGTCTCATACTTATTCTGTAATGTCTGTTGATACATACACAGTGGATGCACAAAGATTTAAACTTTGGTTCCTGATCGTATATAAGCTTGTGTCACCATCTGTGGAAAAAAATTTACTCTTGTGGTATTTCTAAGAGATAAATATGTGTCTAAAATGTTATTAATTAATTGTGGAACCTATTTTAATAGAATATAGAAACAATGAATGAATTGTATTCAAAACTCTACAAAGAGGCTGAGAAGATCAAGCAGTGGAAACTAACTGTAGAATCAGAACTAAAGCAGAAAGAAAAAAAACTGCAAGAAAATAGAAAGATTATTGAAGCACAGCGTAAAGCCATTCAAGAATTGCAGGCCAGTATTGTACAATATACATTGAATATGTAAAGTAAAGAGAAAGTTCTTCCTGATTTAGTATGAAAATATTACTCATACAATTAAAGAATGTTGCAGAGGTTGAAGAAATTTTGAACTGTTAACGTGATGACTTCAAAGAAGCCATTTGGCTAGATACCAATGACCTAGGGCTTTACTGTTATTAAAGGAAAAAGTAACATTTGTTTTTTAAAAATGGTTTTCCTCTTTTTAACAATGTGCATTCCATCTTTGTAATATTTACATGCACATCATACTGTGGGTATGCAGAAACCTGTTAAAGACTGAATAAGCTTTCATCATCCTGGTATGTGTAAAGTATGCTCATGCATATTTCTGTATTCAGCACATACAGGAAGTAGTGTGCTCTGCTTTATCCCAGTTTCTTACCTCGCTGGTAGTGATGGACAGCTTTGTGACTGAAATACATGTTTTAAACAATTTATTGGTCCTTCCTTTTTGTTGTTGTTTGTTTGTTTGCATTGGCTTTAGTAACCTGAATCATCTTTCATTGTTTGACTTTTGCCTTGAGAAAATGGTTATTCTGAGAAGGGGTGCGCACATGTAGTGTGCGAATGTATGTATGAATAACATACCTGTAAGTGTTTCAGTTGCTGGTAAATTATTGTTTATTGTTATGTCTTTCATGCAAACTGTAACAAAAGATGTCTCAGCATGTAATATCAGATAAAACAGATTTCTGTCTTCTGATACAAAAAACTACTTTTTCATGTGAGATTTGAGAAGTGAAAGTATATTTCTAACCTATCTTTCAATAACAATGTGTTTTTGTATTTGTTCCCTATGAAATTAGTTTGAAAATGAAAAACTAAGTTTAAAACTGGAAGATGAGATATGTGAAAATAAAGATCTCTTGAAAGAGTAAGTAATACAGTCAAGTATGTTTTTGTGAAAATAGTTTTTTTGCTGAGAACTGTATTAGTATGGGAAGTTACATATAGCTGTTAAACTGTAAAGGTCATCAGGGCATTTACATTGTTACTACTTAGGTATGCAAAGTACCATGCATTCCTGTGACAACATGTTACGGTATTTTTTTCCCTCTTTTAGAAGCAGCGCTTCAAGGCATCTGTGTAATCTGCTCAAGGAAACCTGTACTCACTTTACAGAGAAGTCCACCAAATGTAAATGCTATTTAAATTTTGATTTATGAAAGTAAATGTACTTCTAGCTTTCTCTAAATTCACGAAAGAAAAAAGCTATCATTCTGTTCCAAGTACGTTCTCCAGTTGAGATAAACTGTATGTGGCTCTGCATCAGAGTGAAATTAGAAGTGAAGCCATAGGTCTAATACACATATGTTTTGTAATTCTAAATCCAGAGGTTTTCTGAAGTCAGTATGATTGTTTGCTAAAAGGTTACATGCCTGGGAGCTATTTATGTGTCTTAAAACACTGATACAGGTTTAAGGTAGTGTAAGCAGCCCTGATTAGCCACTAGCAGCCACTCCAGAGGAGTGCAGGCCTCCTTAAGTCTTGTCAGTCCATTGACGTTTTTCAGTCCCATCCAGATACCTTGAATATATTAAGACTTATGAGGTGGCACTTCATGCCTGTGTTTAGGCAGTAGAATCTACTCTAGTTACCTTTCCCATCTCTCTCTAACAAATTTCCAGGGTTGGTGTTATCCTGTTTGGAGCAGTTACAGATTTGTGGGGAAAAAAGGTCTAAACCCCGAGACACTATGAGTAACTAGCATT